TCTCTTCTCCCGTCTCCCAAGGTCATTCCCATGGACCATTACACACCTTGAGTTCCTGAACGCTCCTGGCGATGTTAAGGACATTGTAGGGGAAGAGCTATGTTTGTCTATGGGGGAAAAGGGGCAACCAGATTCCTCCTGATTTTTCACAATGTTAACAAGCTTAAGTTTCTAGACCAGGCGATCGTCCAGTCGGTCGGGGGGGGGGCACAACTTCTCCAGCTTAAGGGTTGCCAAGAAGTACACAGAATGGGTGTCTGGCGGAGTGGCAGGGTCAAAAAAGTCAAGATGTCAGCTGCAACCATGCCATTAAGCCCTCACAGGTACACATTAAAAAAGAGTCAGTGTTTTGATTGCAAACTTGAAAGACCAGGTTAGCAACCGTTCATCCTGAAGAAAATCTATCTTCGTGGTTGCTACAGTCGGCAATGACCTGATGGCACACCCTTAAATCAATCCATTTGACTGCATAGTCATAGCTGCCATCTTGACTTTCTTGACCCCCTATAGGTACTCTTGGATGGGACATCGATGGGATACTAGATTTCTCCTTTAAATCTGCGATAACAAGATTTGCACCATATTATCACTCCACTTCCTTCCAACTCTTTCCCTCCCTGGACTTGTCACCTCGCATCTGATCCTGGAAGCTGGGTGGTGTAAAAACTGAATAAAATCATAATTATATGCATCATCACAGATCATAATCACCATAATCCTATATGGGTCAGGGCAGAGTTGCACTTTCACTCTCTGAGACTCTTCTAGTTGGGCTGGGGCACGGCTCCCAGCCTCCCCAGCCGACATGGGTATTTGGAACAATACTGGCTGGGAGTGATGGGAACTGGAATCCAGCGTACCCAGGGACTAGCCATTTGTGGAAGGAAGGTCTAGTATCACCTCTACGGGGATGGAGCTATACTAGAAACAACTTATTTGGACCCCCCAAAATTCCCAATAACTTAAAAGAATCCGAATGGAAGATTTACCGCAGTGTTGTCCAAACTTGGCCACTTTAAGATGAATGGACTTCAGCTCCCAGAATTCCCCAGCCAGCATGGCTGGCTGGGGAATTCTGGGAGTTGAAGTCCACTCATCTTAAAGTGGCCAAGTTTGGACAACACTGACTTACTGTATGTCAACCTGGACAAAAGCTACGGAAGATGACTTAGTTGGCATAATAATCAGAATCCTGATCTGAGGCTGCCATTTTCTAAAGCCCCGTCTTCATCAAGCACACTAAAGTTAAAACTAATTTTAATTAGTTATATTAACTAATATGAAAGCCGCACTTTTTGGAATTCAAGCTTTCAAAGCAATACATTAGGATTTTTTAAAAAAGGGAAATCACCATATTGTCCAGAATGCAGTAGAGATGGGCCCGTGAAGTCACCCAAAGTAAGACTCAACTCAAGAGGGCCAGAATCTTGTGCAGAAAACAGCAGCCCAGGGTTTTTAAAGGGCTTATCCTGTAACTCTATGCAAACATTAAGCTTTTCATTTAGATTTCCCTCTACAGAGCATGAATAGTCTCCTAGCATCCTTCGTTACTGACTGTGCCTCCTGAGAACTGTAGTCCAGTAATCAGTGCCTTAGCAGTCCCTGCAGTGCTTTAGAGGAAACTGAACCGCATTCAAGCGCCTTGAAGAACATTATTGGTTCTTCTGTAATTTCTACGACATGGCATGACAATTACAGGAACCCTAATGCATTCCCACAGACAAGGTACATAATTTCACACACACACACACACACACGGGCCCCGGGAACGGTCGCAAACTCACAGAAAAATTGGAGTCGCAGCTGGACAGGCTCCGCCGGGAGCCGGGCGGGGGCTTGCTGTCTAGGATGTTCTTCTTACTGACTTTGAGCTCCCGGTTCTTGACAGGGACGTAGCCATCACGCAGGGAAACCAGGATGGGCTCCGCGTCTTTCCCCGACAGCCACTCTTCCGCCTCCAGGGCCGGCTCGGGGCCGGGGGTGTCTGGGTACAAGTCGTCCTGGAAGAGGTCCGACTGCCGAGAATAGCGGGGGG